TTGTTCGACTTTCAATTCTATATCTTCTAATTCTTCTTTAACTGCATCTACTTTATTTGTATGAGAACTTCCAGAATTTGAGTTTTTTAAGACTCCTTGGTATCTTTTTAAAAATAAAATACAAATAATAATTTTAATTTACAATACTAAGTGTAAAATCAAAAATATAATATTCATTATTCATTAATATAAAACTCAATTATGATACCATTTGATACCTATTATTTATTAAGTTTGTTAAATAATTACGTATTAAATTGAAATATTAAAACAAAAATATGGACATCAAAGAAAATAAGGCAATAGGTCTATATATTTGAGTAGTTATCAAAAATATATAATTTAGTTTTACTATTAAATATAAAAACAAATATTACTTTGCTCGAGCTAAATCCATATCAAGCACCAATTTAGTAAGCAATCGTTTTTGCTTTATAATATTTGGCACATCTACATCAAGAATTTGTTGTAGTTTACTAAGCACTGTTTGTTCAATACGTGATTCATAATCTACACCTGCATTAGCTAAACATATTTGTACTTTGCTACATTCCACTAATACTTGTCTAAAAAATAATAATCATTTAAAATAACCTTAAATTTAAATTTAAAAAAATATATAATTAAAGTTTGAGACAAATTAAATCAAACCACTACACATAAACAAATCATGGGTTTTAATTAGTAAATCTAAAGGTAATTATAATTTTATTTCACCATAATAAAAAACTTGATTCTTTTACTGAGTAGTAAATAGGGATTTCTCTGATTCATTATTGTTTGTTTATGTATCAGTAGCTTTAACGCAAACTATAAAAGTATGCAGTTAACAATATTTTACCTTAATAAATTATCTTCTTCAATAGAACCATTATCAAGCATTGCCATAGCTAACAAATAATCAGGCATTTTTTTCTGAAACATTAAAAATGAATTATTGAATATTATGATGTAATAAAATATAATATAATATAATATAATATAATATAATATTATATCATATTATATTATTTAATAATGATGTATAAGAAAAAATATATTAGTTACTTACAAGTCGTTTTTCACGTGCAGGAGCGTCATGGCCAAGCCCAGGTGATATTAATGTGGCTAATAGTTTTTTTGTAGTATTTTGACAAGCATTTTTTATAAATTCTACTCGTTTTTCTGCTGTTTGTAATGTATCAGAAAGAGCTTCAGTTTTACCAGACCTAAAAAAATTGAATAAAAATATTATTTGAATATTTGTAAGTTTATAATTATAACATTAAAAAAATTTAATTCATCATACCTAGAAAATGTCTGGTCAGCGAATTGCTTAACTTTAAAAAACTGCCTTTTCATCTTCGCTATGCTTGGATAAAAATTAAATAGTAAAAGCTACTTAAATAATCATATCATATTATTGTCATAAAATGAATAATTATTGTAAAACCTAAAAACCAAAAATAATTATTTTATTAAATAGTTGTAGTCACAACTGGTAGATGCACACAGTTATAAAAATTAAGTAAATATTGACATCAATTAGATTAGAAAATTGTTTGAAAAAGATGAGATTAGAAATGTTTAAATATTGAAATTGGTATTCCTATTATTTGAAACGATTGTACAATTTAGATAAATACTTAATATGTTAATAAATTCAATAAGTCTTAAAACACTGTTATTTGTATAAAAACATAATTTTAACTATTGACACTAAATTAATGTATATAATAATAATAAACTATGATTGTACAGTCAGAGTTATATACTCAGGAATTAAAGGATACTAATGAGATAACATTATTAAGGCCTTTGATTATTTGTTTAACTTATTCAATAGGTACAGACAAATTATAAACGGAATATACTGTGAGCTCCATAGTGTATAGTAATAACTAATAATAGTATTATTAAGTATTCAGTATACTGCAATATTATGTTCTATGATATATTATCATATAATACAGTGAAATCACTCAACAAACAATGATAGTATCCTATAAGTATTGTGAAAAATATGCTCACGAAGAGGCAAGAAAACCCATAGGTATAGCCAAAATTTATTAGACAACACCATTCAAAAAAGTTATTTTTAAATAAAATATGGGTAGGCCAAGCAAACACGTTGGCTGTGTCGCAGCATACAATTAAAGTTAAATACAACAAAATTACAACAGATACAATTAGTCAATATCTTAGACGAACCTAACACTATTATTAAATTTTAATACAAATTAAATTAAATTTATTCTAAGAATTATTATACAGTTAATTAGCTTTAAAATGTTGAAATGATATAGGATGTACTTTATTTAAAATTAACTAATTGAAAAATTCACAACATTGAAGTTTAAATAAAAGTGAAAGTAAATTCATATTGTGAATAATATTATATAGATCTACCTACAGTGAGTCATTTCTAAAAATAATGAAATGTATAGAAAGATTTAACAGATTTACATTAATTTTTATCTTATTGAATTAAATATAACTCTCCATTAAATTATATTAAATAAAAACAATGTTAATCAGGACAGTATGGGTAATAGCACTCAGATGTGCATTTACTATCTTAATAATTAGTATATAATACACACATACCTATTACCTACAGCAATAAAGAATAGCATGAAGATTTTAAACAAGCTATCAAATAATTGCAAGCAAAATTAGCTTTAAAGATAACCTATAAATTATAATTGAAACCCAAGTACTGAATATAAATATATATATTTATAGTTGTAGGTTAGGTAGTTGTATAATATTCAATAAATGTTTATTATTATTATAAATGTTTTATTTAGTATTTTACAATTTCTCATACTTTTAATGCCTAAAGAATTCAGAATATCATTAAACATTTGCTTTCTAAGAAAAATAAATTATAAACAACAACAATAACAAGAATATTGATTACATTTTGTAGGCATGTAAAATTTAAGTAGTCCGACTACTTTATACTAAATCTAAATATTCATTATTGGAATTTAATGGTTTTTAATAAATCATAACCACATACCTATAATAATATGAAAAAAAACCCATTAAAATCATTAGTTGACAGTAAATTTTAAAATTACCATTATTTTCTATTTTTTTTATGAAGTATACCTCATAAAAAATAAAAATAACTGATTATTGTTTAACTAATATGTCATTTAATGAGGTCATACATCCATTTGTTAAAAAAAAAAAATATAATTGTAACATGCATAATAAAATATCCCTTACTTAAGCAGGGTTACATGAACAATCACTAAACATTTATTGAATCAATAGTGAGCTAATGGTCTCTTAAATATGATTTAGTGGTCCGTTACATTTTACTGAACCATTAAATTCATTAATTTTTCAATTTTTCATGCAACCCAATGTTGGTATATTTTGAATTCATATTATGTACATTTTGTACATAAAAATAATGGTATAAAAATTCTTTAATTCTTAAATCAGAAAGTCATAAGCAACTTTAAAATAAATTAACATTTTTTTATAAATATTGTTTTATTGTAATAAAAGATAAAAATTTATCAATAACAATAAACATTTGTGTTAATTGACATAGTTACAATTTGGCATATACAACTAAGTATAAATCATTAAGATTATTAAAACTAAAATATTAAAGAATTCTTAGATTAGTTCATATTATTTAAATAAGTCAACTAATTGAAACCATAAATATATTTTATTGAATTAAAAAACAATTTTTTATTCTTGTGTATAGCAATGAGAAAAAATGTACTTCTTTTACAATCATTAATTCTTTTTTAGTTACTTTACAACTCAAAAGTTAGGTTAAGTTCCTAATTAAATTCTGATAAAAACAATATAATGTCTCTGAACAATTGATTAATATCCAAATTCTTTTGATAGAATGCTGTTAAATACATTGGTATACATTCTTAGCTGAAATAGTTTGATTTTACCAATGTGTGCCAAAGTTTACCAATGCAACTATTAATAGGTAAATGATTTCTGGTTTTCACTTTTAACTTTCTATAATTATGAATAATATTTATTGGGTATTAAAAACCAGAATTTATAAAACGAGAGATTATCGTGTGCAAAAAAATATAAAAATTTGTTTTGAATTAGCTTTAACCAATAAGTGAGTTGTAAGCTGTATATTAGAATAAAAGCATGTATCAGGTTTAACTTAATAAAAACATTTGACCAAGTTGTACCACATTAGTAAGTGTTACTTTGTACTGGAGTTTTTAGATTTCACAATTATTCCATATTAAACAATATTTTAAAATAAAACTAAAAATGTACATGGATTGTAGACAAATTACTTATACATTCATTGTACTGAGATAAAATCAAAAAAGCTGAACTTAATAACTTACGCTACAGTGCTAGCGGCCCGACGTTATCCTCCGACCACCGAACTTCGAGAAGGACAACCACAGCATGAAACGGAAACGTTTTTACTCATTTAAAGGAAAAAATGAAAAATTCAATTTTTCTACAACTAGATAAGGAAAAAACTTTAAAAATTGGTGAAGGAAAATGTCAACATTTATACAGCGCTACCAACAGAGATAACTAACCGATTGTTTTATTTTGTTACCGCATAGTGCATACTCATTTTTTAGTACAATAGAAGACTTTATTTTAACAATTTAGGTACAATTATTATGGCAGACGAATATTGCTTATTGGCTAATACGACAAAATAAAAAGGACATCTCTAATTACGAATTCGCGTGATATCGACATAATAAAATGCTATCTAAACTATTAAAAACCATTTATGAATTGATGTCAAAAATAATCGAATAAGTTTAACTTAATTTCGATTTTTAGACCCTGCACTGTACACGTAATCGTTAGTTGGTAGAATCGATAACACTTCTGATATCGAAATTTTTCTTTGAATTTTCCCTTGTTTCTAAAAAGAAATAAGAATTTTCGTTTTGTATTACGGATTTTGAACTTCAACACATCATTTTATAGTGAAGACGATATAATTTAGTATTTTTGTGTTAAATAATAAATGCTGCAGAGAAATGGCAGGACAAATAGTGAGTATCTAAATGGCTAAGTATCATCGAGTTACATTTTTCTATTGTTATTACATACAAAGTACAATATTATACTTTTTTTATATAAAGGTGCTGTGTCATTGAGTGTTTAACTTGTTTTTAAATATTTTCTTTTTAAATGCCAATCAGACAATTGTCTATTGATAATTTAAACTTCCGGTACATCAAATATTGTCTAATTTTTATTTTATTTACATTATACTTGAATACACTTTAGTATTCAATTTTTCACCTTTCTGTTGCATATTATTATTTTTACTGAAATTTGATTTAATGACAACTACCTATAACAATTTAAAAGTATAGCCTAGTTATTCATTATTTGTTCCAGTATACAGATGATTTAATCCTTTTGTTTCTTAATAAATTGTTTTATAACTATTGTTTTTTAATTGTGTATTACATAATTGGACATTTAAGTTGCTAAATAACCTTAGACTTACTCTTAAACAATTATTTTATAAATACATATTTATTTGAAAATTAAACATTTTTCAGGTATTACGTGTAGAATCTCCAGATGGAACAAAAAGAGTACAAGTTTCACCTACGGAATCAAGTTATAATTTATTTGAAAAAGTAATGAAGTATACCTATTAACATATTCATCTTTTTTTATAAGATTTAAACTTTATATTTTTAAAATAGAGAAATTATATATATCATAATACCTAGTGAATAATACATTTTTAATGAAACTTCAATTGTGAATTCAGCACTATTTCAGAAAAATATTCTAATATTATTTTCAAAATTTTTACAGGTGTACAATGCATTTTCTCTTTCAAATTATGGTTTCACTTTATTTAATGATCGAAATCGTAAAAACGAAATTAAATCATCTAGAAGTGTATACTTGAACAGCTTAAATCTGAAACATGGAGATAAGATATACATGTGTCCATTAGATCCAGATAATATATGGGCAATTCCTGGCCCATCAAGTGCAGGTTCTGCTAATGGAAGTCGTTCTTCTTCAGTAGTGTCCACGCCAGGATCCACTACATCACTGCCATCAAATGGAAAGAAAAGTTCAGGATCAACAAGTCAAGTAGAAGAAGATGAAGTGGATAAACAACTATGGAAATTAGATGGAAAAATTAAACGTCTCAAAGATAAAAAATAGTAAATAATAATATCATTCATTTTTAACTGTTCATATTACTATTTAATAAACTTAATAATAATGCGATATACTTTTAGTTGCCGTCATGGAGATAATGGATGTTGTGTCCATTGTTCACCTTTAGAACCATACGATGAGGAATATTTAAAAACACAAAATATGAAGCATTTATCTTTTCATTCATACCTTAGAAAAATGACTGCTGGAGTGGCAAAGTAATTTAACTATTTTTTTTTTAAATTACTCAAATGATTCAATTAAATTAAATTTCTTTTAGAGGAAAATTTTTACTGTTAGAAAATATAAGCTGTCGGATAAAAGAAGGCTGTACAGGACATTTACCATGGCCAAAAGGTATATGTTCAAAATGTCAACCATCAGCCATTACGTTAAACAGACAGGTAAATAAAATAGGTAGATGAGGTATTTTATTGATTTATATAACTTATATGTTTTTGGCAGACCTATAGGCATGTTGACAACGTTATGTTCGAAAACTCAGAGTTGGTAGAACGTTTTTTGAATTATTGGAGGATTACAGGACATCAACGTATCGGATTTTTGTATGGGCGATATGAGATACATCCTGATATACCACTTGGTATAAGAGCTGTAGTTGCAGCAATTTATGAACCACCTCAAGTAAATCTATTCATGTTCAAAATAAGAATTAAATACCTACCTATTTTTTTATTGAATTTTTTTGGTGTTCAAGTAATAATACAACTAACTGATAAGTATTAATGTTTCAGGAAAGTTCAAGAGATCATGTTAAATTATTGCCTGATGAAAAACAAGATATAGTTAATGAATTGGCTAGATGCTTAGGGCTTACGTCGGTTGGTTGGATTTTTACTGATCTTTTGACTGAAGACATGCAAAATGGAACTGTATGATTATTTATTATATATTTATTACTATAATTATAATTGTATACCTATTTTTTTTTAAATAACTTAGGTAAAATATGTTAGAAACATAAAAAGTCATTTTCTATCTGCTCAAGAATGTATAATGGCTGGATACTTCCAAAATTTACATCCAAATCCTTGCCGTTATGCATCCAATGGATATTTTGGTTCAAAATTTGTCACTGTCTGTGTTACGGGTATGTTCATAAAATTAATAACTTATAAGAATCCAGTTGTGAAATGTAAAATGCTATTTCGACTCTGTTTTTTTATGTACGTACTATGCATATAAAGTATAAAAAATTGCAATTCAATTATTTTATGATTATAGAATTGGTCATATTAATATATAATCTGAAAATACACAATTTTACTTTAGTATTTATTATAAATATTTCCATACAGTATTTTTATTGCCTAATTTAAAATTAAATTGATAGTTGGTGACATTATTTTTATAATTTCTAACAATTGAAATATTCATTTTATAAGTTGTTTATGTAGTTTTGGCAGCTTTTATATTTATGATAATTTTGTATGCATGCCTTTTAATTTTCATTTATTACTTTTACTTAATTTGTTTGTGGTTTATAGGGGATGAAAAATGCCAAGTGCACATGGAAGGCTATAGTGTATCTAATCAGTGTATGGCTTTAGTTAAAGATGACTGTTTGGTACCAACCAAGGATGTACCCGAATTGGGGTTTGTTCGTGAATCTTCGGACAAACAATATGTGCCTGACGTCTACTATAAGGTATGTATAATAAAGTTCTATATATTTTTTTAAACCAATTATTTTAATTAGAATATTTACTATTAAAAACATTAGTTCATTGTTAAACTAGAAAAACATGTTAGTATACTAGAATTTATATTATGAAATCAGTATTTTTTTAGAAAACGGAAACTTACAATATTAATAACTAAATTCTTAAAAAGTATTATTTGTAAATTAATTTCTAAGCTTGAATTTCATAAAAATCAAGTATCAAATTGTATTTATATTTTATATATCACACTACACATAATATTTTTTTAACTATTAGGAAATAAATATACAAGGGTATTCAATATGATTTTCAATGGTTTTATATTTTAAGTTCTTTGGTTTAGAATGATCATTGATACATTAAATACAATAATACTATGTTATTTAGTTTCTGGTAGATTCATACCTATCTGTTCGATGCGGGTTCCCTTCACCACACAAACAACATGTAATATAAAATCAAATTCATCCCATGCTTGCTCCATCATATTATCCATTGTAATTGACTCCGTGAATTATTTTACCTTCTCTGTGGTTGATAGTAACGGTAATATGTACACAGTTTCTTTAACATATCTTTAAAAGAAGTAGTCACATGACATAAGATTCGGTGACCTAGGAGGCAAGATGCAAAGCATGGGATAAATTGTGTATTTTTGTAATTGTATGTAAGCAACACAAGGATTTTAGACCAAATAAAACAGCTATACCTTTCTATACAGCACATTGGTTCAATAAATAACTAAGTAGATTTATTGATATTTTATTAAACAATAATATTGCTAAAAAGTTGTTCCTGCATGTGTTGTTTATCTTACAAACATAAGCACATCTACACATATAACGTTGCACACCTACGTACACAAATTCTTATTATAGTTTATTTATAATTAATATTATAAACAATATATATTACCAAATTTTTAGATGAGAATATATATTGTGCTCAAGCAATTTATTTTCAAATTTTCATTTTAACATAAGAAGTGCTTAAATAGTTCATTTTTTTCAAACTCATATAACTTTAAAATAAATATATTACTACATTATATTCTTCTCTTAAATTTCAATAATAAGCAAGTTTGCTGTACTATATGTTACACTTTTGCATGGCAGAGACAACACATGAGAGTAAGACCTGTTAAATACAATACTCTGTTTTGATTTAAAAATTGTTTATGTTTTGAATATGATATTGAATAATTTAGAACTGTTCAAATTTTAAAATTGATATAATAATGAATAACTAGCATTTATCTGTAGGAATTATTATTAGGGTTTATTGATGGTAATTAATAGCTCACTGCAATAAAAAAATATGTCATGTTGCCTATCCAATGGTGAAATCCCTCCACCCCAAAATCAAAAAAAATGTATTTAAATTTTAAGCTACCTAATTTAAAGGAGTTTTTAAATCCTAAGTACATTAACAAATCTATCAACAGTTCTTAGTTATGGCGACAGTGCACCCAAATTGTAGCAATTGCTAAATAATACTGTGCAAAATCTTATATAAAGATTATCAAGAATGTCTTGATCATATAATAATTAAATTATTAATATTTTAAGAACATTTCATGATTCTATGGTTTACCTAATTTTAATAAAATAATGTAAATTATTTTGTTATCAGTTTTGAAAATATAATAATTTGGCTTTATATACTATGGCAATCCATCCAACCGATTCCTGTTGCTTACATTTTTTGAATTAATTATTGCTACAAATACTTTTTAAATCTCTTGGATATGAGTTAAAATATTAAATGTGCAGTTTTTGATATCATTTTCACTTAACATATTTAAATGATAACATTTTTTGGATACTTATTATTTGATCTGAGACATAGCATATAATTTAATTCTGCTTATAGGATATTCTACAATTATTAAAAATCAAATAACTACAATTTGTAGAACTATATTTTTTTATACTCTCTGAATTGAGATGAAAGATCCCCTATAAATATTATTAATAAAGATTTTTAACTGTCAAATACAAAATAATAAATCCCATTGAAAATATATTTATTATTCATGAGTTCATGACAAACACTCCGAAATAATTTACAATTATTCATGTATGAATATGTCATAATTTATCGTACCGATTAATAATATAACCTTACTCATCAACATATTATAATGTATACATTTATATTATATAACTCAGTTTACTTATAATATTGTTTACAATTGTTTGGTATAATAAAATAAAACAAACTTATCTTGTGATGAATAAAACATTTTCAAAAACAAAATCATGTCTGGGTAAAATCAAAAAATAATATGAACGTTGAGTATACATTGAAAAACATTTACTTTTGGAATACATTAAATTATAAAATAATCTATTCCTGGTATCGAAAAATTTGTGTAATTGTCTTTTTTCTTCAAATTATAAATGTAAATACTTATTTTTTTTTACCTCAACTTTAACAATAATTAGACCAACTTTAATTGATCTATATACAGTAAAATATAATAACATTGTAATTGAAGTTGAAAACCAATGTTTGTATTCAAACACTATATAATGTTATATTATTCTGAACTTTAAATTTTAAACAGGTATATAACTTATGCATATCTGTCAGGAAAGAAATACAGTTAAGATATTATGGTACACAATTTGAAAAATAATAACATGAATAATTCACTGTGCGCAACTTAAATTTAAAAACCGCCATTATATTATTTGATAAATTTTAATATATATGGGATATAATTATTGTTATTATTTAAAACTAATACACGTTTTGGATTCCAAAATAAATTTATCGAAACCTCCGATAATGGATTACAAAAATACACATAAACGTTCACTTGCTTCTATAAACTACTCGATCGATTATTTAGTTTAAATTAACATTAAAAAGAGGGTTATGTTAAACTTTACCACAACTAGATATGACAAATGTCTTGGACGGTTTGCCAGTTTGATCTCCAAACGAGGCCATTTTTTCAACGAGATCAATACCATCTACCACATGTCCAAAGATTGCTGTGAACCCACGCATCTCTTGTAGAATAATACGAAATTGTGATCCAACCATACCCATATTATCATGACGTTTTTGAGTGCGGCGCATTCCTACAGCTCCTCGAACTGCAGGAAACTTAGTATCATCGGGCATGAAGTAACTTTCGTCATATATAGATTTGCCACCACGACCATTGTTTAATTCAAAATCACCAGTAATCACAGATTCTCCATCCCAACATTGAAATATTGAGCAGCCTTTATATGAACAACCATTTGTATCACCAACAGTTAATACTTCAAAATTCTTTGACATTTTTGGCGCTACATCTGGACGAGTTTCAATGACTAAACGACCAAATGATGTCCCATTTACTTCAATATTGAAGTAAAACATAGGATAAGTATTAACATTACGAATTGAAGGTACATTATTCAAAATAGCTGGTGGTGGACTGTTTTGAGACGTTATCAGTACTGGTTCATTTGATGATATTGAGGATAGAGACGTTGTATATTGAGTGGTGGACGAATTTCCAGGAGAATTTTTTGCAAACTCTGATCCATTTACAAGTTGAGTGACATGTTTGGGTAGTACATATCTTGTAAACAACTGTGCAGTACAATAGTTAGCCAAGAAAAAAATATGGGTGTTTGGATTTGCTAAATCTGCAGACTTATATGATTCTAAAGCCATGGACTGTAATGAAGACAACGATTGTTTGATCATACCAAAATCTAACAAGTTAGTAGAAGATATGATATCTTCTAATTGGCCATGTGCAAATTGTTCAGAGTATTTATTTTGTACTTTCTGCTTCACTTGTTCTAGCCGATTTAAATATAATTGTAAATCATATAAATCATCTGTACGCAAATTTGTTGGTTTTATACTATTCAAAGTTTCATTGGTCTGCAGTAAATCATTTGTATTTTGAGTCCAACCACTATTTAACTCTAGTTCAATTTGAGTTTTTAGCGTGTTACAGGCATCTAGAACCCTCAAGAGAAATTGGCGTTTGTGTCCAAATAAATTTTGAATTTCACTCATCAGTTTAGCAATAGCTATAGTTTCAACTTGAACCTATAATATAAAAACAATTATAATTAAGAATACAATTTAAATACCAAATAATACTTACTTCACTGATTAGATGGTCACGTGCATCATTATTTGATTTTATGGAATGTCCAATATGATCAGATTGAGTTCCACACGCTCGACATAACAACTGTTGGCAATTGTAACACCAAAATGAAAATGGCATTCCATGTGTATGACAATTTTCTCCCTAAAATCAAAAAAGTACCAAAATATTTTTAACCATCAACATTTTTAAAATCAATATTAATAACAAACCTTTCGTTCTTTATCAACAGATTTATTGACTTTTACATTTGCAAGATGTCTAATTAGACTGAGAATAGACTTTTGTGTTCGCAGAGTCTCTGGAGATTGCTCATCTAATTCAGTACGCTTCCAACAGTTTATGCAATACACTTCCAAACCTTTGAGCATAGTAGTCTTAACACATTGCAAACAAAAACAATGTTTACAACTAAGTTCCTTTGGCACAAATTCTGTTTCATTAAATTTCTGCTTGCAACAGCCACATATGATAAGTTCTTCAAATTCAAAATCTTTTTTCGTATCCATCATCTATAAACAATGGATAATTATATCTGTATTCAGTACAATAGAATAAAAAAATAAATTAGGAATATTGGTTGATTAAAACTATCTGTACCACTTGAATAATGCATATTTAAGTAATTGGGAAAAAAATGTAAAATATGCATACACGATACATCAAATTATTTTATTTTATTTGTTATTCTTCTATAACTATTATTATTGTATTACTAAAAATAAAAATTCTATTTGTACCATAATTTGATGTAATATGCTCATAGGTGACTGGTAAGGTTAGGTTAGGTTATTTAATACCATAGTAAAATGCCTTGTACTTAATACAACTATGCAAGATGATTGTATGGATCAATTTATTAAATTAAAACAACTCAATTTTATAAACTCAAATTAATAATTAAATTTTTTTAAGTGATGCTATATTAGATACGTACTGTTATTCTATTATGATTAAATATTAATTATTTTATTATTATTAAATAATAAAAATAGTTAATATGTCAAATATGGATAATTGTTGAAAATTATTTTTTTAATTTATAAAAAACAAGTATGTTGAGTTTATTGTCAGAAATCGTATTTATTTTTAAGTATAATTGAAGATTTGAATAGCTTAATAAATAAAAAGTATATTTTATGTACGATAATTTTTAACCTTGAAATTTATAATGTAGATTACAATAAAAAGATTTTTTTAAAAACTTTCGACCGAATAATGCATCTCATTTATCAATTCTTACGAAGTACGACATAATAATATCATAGTATTATGCATGACGTATAATATTGTATTATTGTTTTGTACTCGGAGTGACGAAGGTCAAGGGTGATCGATAATAATAACATTTATATCTTAAACGCGCGGCGTTCAAGTGCGTTTTTTTAAATTATTTTAAATTTTAATAATTTTTATTAGTGGTCCACCGACGGGGCCCCGGTCAAACCCCCAACTGTTGTTTAATAAACATGACATTATTATTATTATTAGTATTATTATACGCATAATAAAATATATCAAGTATGGCGGTGTGCGCAAATACACGAAATCAACTTACACTTTGGTGCAATGTAAACAAAATATAACGGGCGGCCGAACGATTAGCGCCTTGTGTAGGTGTAGTATATTATTATTATAGATAATAAATATACAATATTACGACGACGGTGTATAAAAAAAAAAAAATAATAATAATAATAATAAACAACAACAACAACAACTCGTGTGCGTTGTGATAAGTACGTTCCGCGTGCGTCGAGCGCGTAAAAATACCAATTACGAGTTACGCCTCGCGCACTTATCAATGGCGACGGCGGGCAAACACGATGTGACCGATGGCGCGCACTGTCTAAAATATTAATAATAATAATGTTATCACGACGGCGGCGCGACAAAATATGCGAATGGAGTAAAAATAATTATTCGATAATGTATTTCGTTGTGGATCGAACGGACGACAAACGACGGGAAGGCGACGGCGGGGGGACGTTGAAGGCAGACGGCGACAACGTTCGGAACGATTATGTATTACGAATTACGATTGTAACAATTACGCCATTAAATCTTATATTATTATTTGGCGCGACGACGACGACGGTGCCGTTGTTGTTGTCGTAGCAGCGGCGGTGAAACCGGGGCGGCGTCGTTGTCGGTGGCCCGTCATCGTTGATTTTCCGCTGTGCACAGCTATACGCGAATCGAGCACGACGATATCGACACTGTCGGCGGCCGTACCGTTCGGTGATAACCGACAATAACAATAACGACGACCACAACAACAACAACAACAACTGCTACTGCTACTACTACTACGACGGTATCGACGACAGCAGCCGCCGTGTTGCATGGCGATCGCTTCGGACGGTGCGTATACGACTGACGGTGACTGGTGTCGCGGCGGCGGTGGCGGCAGCGTCGGGCCCGGTGTTTGTGTCGATCCCTCTCCCGCGCGCGCGGGTTTTTCGGAAGTACGCAGTTCGCTAGCGGCGCGGCGCGGCCCGGCTCCGGGTTTCGGGTCTTTTTTTCCTTCCTTCTTTCCACGCCGCCGTGTTGTTGTTTTCCAACCGCCCCGGCGAACCCTCCTCCTACCCTTCACACCGCCGCACCATGTCGGCAGTGCATGACGTACACACGGTCTACCGTAACACTATTTACGTTAATGCCCACGTCCCCCCCCATCCCCTTCGCGCCCGGCCGGCCACCGGTTGTTGTTGTTGTCGTTATGTTTTAAGTGATGGGGTGGTGTTGGTTGGCGGGTGGGTGGTGGGGGTCAAACGAAAATATCGTGTCCGCCTTCCCGTCTTTGTTTTTTCTTTATTGCGTTACATAATAAAAATAACAATATCATACATATTTTATACGACAGTACGAGCAATACACGACACGCTGACGTGCTGTTCAAACTGACACCGACTGGCGACTGGTAATCGGAAAAAAAGACCAAGGAAAAAAAGACCAAGAAAAAAAGACCAAAGAAAAAAAGGACAATTTACAATTTTTGAAAACTACATTTTAAAACCGAGAATAATCATTTTAGTTATTTTGTTGTAATTTTATAATTAATATGTACATTATAATATATTTTTTGGATATTATACACAATTTAAATTTAATAAAAGGAGAAATTACCTTCATTACAAATTTACATAATATTATTTATACGCCATCAAGTAAACGGTATAGGTTAGGTTTTTATTATATTTTATTATATTTATTATATTTTGTGTAACAGCGTATTTTATTTTAATGTGTTTTATTATTAATTACTATTTATATTTTGACTTATTTACAACATTAACTGTTTACAGTGTTACCAGTGTTACAGTACTATATTTTATATCATAAAATTACAACAAAATAACTAAAATGATTATTCTCGGTTTTAAAATGTAGTTTTCAAAAATTGTAAATTGTCCTTTTTTTCCTTGGTCTTTTTTTCTGTTGGTCTTTTTTTCCTTGGTCTTTTTTTCTTGGTCTTTTTTTCCTTGGTCTTTTTTTCCTTGGTCTTTTTTTCCGGGATTCCTGGCGACTACAGCTACGACTCGCTATTCCCCGAAAACGAATTCGACCCGCAAGAACGATAATAAAAATATAAGAAATATAGATAGCTATATGTATCAACATGTAAAGTGAAGAAGTGTTATTATTGAATAGAAACATTAAAATAACTTATAATATCTTATTATCATCAATAGACAATAACTGGCAAGTGTTTGAGATGGCGACGCGACGATTGATTTATTACTTATCAGTTATTGTTCGCTCTCTCGGGCAGCAATTCCGCGTTTCAAGTGTAATTAGTATTTGGCATAGACGTGTGGTACTATTGTACTTGGGTGATTTTGTCTCATTCCGCTATATTGTCCATACGGTTGGCGTATGACCTGTGACCACTATGGCTTTGTGTCAATGTGCTACTTATTGAGATTTTTAAAACCTCGATTTTCATGTGAACAATTTAATCGTGTAATATAAATTTATAATAATAAGAAGATAATATGGTACTTATGTTTTATCCGAACTACCTGGAACAATCGAGAATTTGCCAAGTTAGAGGACTAACATACATATTATTTGGACTACCTACCACTCTTTTTACATATTTTGTGTATTTTTACATCACCTCATACAATTGTATGAGAGTTGTAGTCATATAAAAGTAGTATTGTTTTTTTGGAGGGGATACATTTTTATGTTTCTAAAAAATAAAAATTGAATCATATTATTTCGAATTGATGTGATTTTGTCGCCACATAAATTCCACCAAATGTGAATTGGGGTGGCGTGTGGACCCTACGTGGGTGGACTTAGTTGGGCCACTTCACCAATCCCCATAATATTCTATCTTTTGCTTGTGTATCACTTTCACAGAATCTACATATTAATACCATTCCTGGTAATTATACGTATGTAGTTTTTCCTGGAAAAAAAATTTATATTGGTTGAAGTAAATTTCTTCAAATGATACAGTAACCCTCAGCCCTCTTAAATCCACCATAGACTGGTCCAATGTCCTGCGTCCAACAAAAATGCACATCTTTTGGCTATTACCTTTGTAAATAATTAATAATACTAACGCTGTTAAGATTTTTTTCGTTTGAAATAACTGCTATAATATCTGGTTGGTCATATTATTTGTCAAATAAGTTTTAATGTGTCTTCGGCTAAAACAAGTTCCAATCCGACCCTTGAGGAAGGTATGGAAGTTGCTTCAGTATATATAAATTAATAAAAAAAAGTTCAGAAAAAGTCAACTTGTAACCTTCTAGACTTGTTAGTTTAAATTTTTTTCTATTTTATGTATTTTTATGAGTTAAGGCATTAACTCAGGTTAAGATTCTAAGCTCTCAATATAAACTTCATGGGGCTTGGCAAAAAGTAATAATTTTTGCAAGTCTTAAAACATTTAAGTATTTCGTGCAATTAATAGTTCCTTAAATACTCAAAATGCCCAATTACACCAGATAATATTGGATTATTGTCGGAAATTTCTCAGTAATCTTTAAAATAATCTTGAACAACAAAAAATAAATACGAACATTGTTAAATTTTAACATTATTATAAAAATAATAATTTGGTAACGAGGGTTACACACAAGTTGTAGTCTCGGTTCAGAACTGTAATAATCGTACATGTACAATGACTTATTGTTGAGTTCAAAGTTAACACATACATTACAGTGACTTACTCATTGAAGAGGTGCACTCGACCGACACCTACTATACTGCAGAGCAGTTATCTACTTAACGAGTTTTTTATACAAATTGTAAACACAAAATAGTCGTGGAAGGGTTATTCCTACTAAAATTATTCTGCACACCGCGCGAAAAAATCCTGTGCACGCCGATGATGCAATGTAACAGTGGCGTAGCCAGGGGATGTTTTATATGTTGAAACACCCGTCTCCTCCTTGGCTGTATTTATGCAAAATAAATATGTACTTTATGATTCAGATGTCTGCAAAGTATGTAGAACATATGTTATATTTAATAATAAAATTTAAACACCTCTCCAAAAGAAATCTCGGCTGCATGTACCCTCCTGCAATCTAATAATATTATAATATTTAAACGCGGCGAAGAATATTAATAATATGATAGGTACTAACATCTAATGACGTTAAATTATTCATGTACCAAGTTCATGTACGACGGTTGTTTCGGGACGAAATTACGAAAGCGGAACGCCGACCAACTGCCAAAGTCTATATTATAGTGTTATACGGTATTACGGTATTTCGTGTCGCGTTGTTATGGCTGCATCGGCTCGGCCGGCCGCAATTCACGGTCAAATATGTACCACCACCCGGCATAACAAACGCCGTCCGCCTCCCCGACGCTCGAGCTGCCGGCGCCCCGCTCCCCCGCCATCTTGTCGATCGGATCGACCCCTAAAACCTCTACCACCCGCCGCCATTGCACTGCAGCACACGCGCACGTCGTCGTCGTCGTCGTCGTCGTAGGCACTTCACAGTCGTTCACTTTCCTGCAATTGCTCGCCGCCGCCGCCGCAAATACTCACTCCCACGCTTTTCAAGCTACGCGGCGCGACGCAACCCGACCCCAGTTTGGGCTGGTCCAGTAAGAGCGTTTGTTTCTATTATTATTATTCACCGCCCGGGGGGTTGGGTACCTCGGCCGCCGCCGACCTTGGCCAGTGACGTCACCCGAGCGTTACGTTTTTATTTCACCCTCTTTCGGGTTCCGGGTCGAATCGCCGAACGTTATATTTTTATAACAATATTGTTATTATTATTATTTGGCCGCCGCCCGCTCGCAGACACTACTGCCTGCACGTAGCCCACCCTTGTTTCGTACGCAATAACCTAAAAACAGTGCAGTGTTCGTTGGGTCTGTCGTCCGTGTGATCTTCCAGTGTAACCAGTGTAACCTTCCAGTCCGTGACGATCACTCCGAACGCAGTTGTTGTGGTTATTGTTGTTATAGCAGCAAGAGAGTAACCTTTTTAAATTGTATACCCACGGAATACGGATGTATGTGTGTTCCGTCAATTTGAAAAATCTCATTGGATTAACACTATACGACGTCCATATTTTGAGAGTTTTCTGTAGGTTAAGTTGGGCACTTGTTTATGCTGTTGAAGAATTTATCATTGTATGGAAAAAAACAACGGCCAAGATACGTTAGAATGAGAGTGGAACAAATTTACGATTCTTTGTATTCTTATGTGCTTGACATTCGAGACTCGAGTATTCAACTCTTCAGTCGTTTTTCATACAATACGTACGTGTTGTTATTGGTGCATACCCCCGGGTGTTCTATTATAGGTATCATGGTGACTTGAAAAATAATTGATAAAAAAAAAACATCCTTCCTCGAAAATCTGTAATCATATGAGAAATGTAAACCCTCATTCACCGAATTGTTGACATTTGCCATATGGAGTTCAATTTAAACACATATTTTCGATTACAAAACTTGTATAATATTCATTATTCACTTCCGTGGACACCTGGTGTTGTACCAAACTGTCAAAACTCATACATCCCACATTCTTACAGTATTCAACGCTATTACCTATTTTTATAGCTGGTTTTTTGAAATAAATTTCGATCAAATAATAACATTAAATTATTCAAATGGTTAATTCCGTGAAGGCAAAATGCAAAATCCGTTGTATGAAAATAATTAAACAATGAAGTAAAATAATTAAATCTTTGATTTCTAAAAATCTAGTGTGGGCTATGTGGCGTTATAAATTCCCAAACATCATAATATTATAAGCTTTTAAATAGCTGAAAATGTCTTTTAAAATATTCCTACCTCCTGGTGTTGGTTTCCAAATCGTTGTCTGTACAACTTTATCTTCTATAAAATATAAATATATTGTATGTATACATGATTATATGATCATTTTTGATTACATATACCCTCAAATCATTTTCCAACGTTAAATCTATTTATGTAGACACCATATGTGTAGAATGGGGGAGGGGCTAAGAGGGCTAGACCTACCCCCTAGAATTCGGCCAAGTCCCCTTGGAATTAACAAGAAGTTCCGGTAGCGTCGTCGATGAATCGTGGAAAAAAGTCCCGAGGAAAAAGGTCCTACATTAGGAAAAAGTCAATGAATAAAAAAAGTATAAAATTATAAAATTTAATAAAATGATAAATACTAGCAAAAATGTAGATAAAGCAAAAAGAGCATACTCAATTATGTTCTACATAAAGCAAACATCTTGCATTTCCATATTCCAAATATTCTCCTAGTAAATTATAAACAAATATGTGTACAAAATATATTTTTTTGAAAAATGTGTTTTTTAATTACATAAAATTATGTAAAAAGCTATGAAATAATGAGTGTTGTTCGATAAAAGAATCATCTGGAGATCACTCATAGGTTAATGTACGTTGAACAGAATTTTAGTTTTTAATTATTTTATACTTTAGTAGGAATGTATTTATTTTAAATAAAAATGAATAAAAATTTACCTTCAATAATTATTTTATTTCCACAAGTAGGTTTAGGTGGATCATTAAATGACTTGTAGTTTCTTATAGTTCTTTTTAGATATTCTTCTCTTGGCAATTCAAGTATATACTTCAGAGTTCGGGGAATATTTGATACCACTTTCTCGAAAATTTGAAAAAGCTAATATCACTTGTTAGTTAAGCTTTTCCATCATTAGGTTTTTCATTTTTGTCGCAGAAATAACATTTTCATTCCCTTGATGTACATTGTACATGATCATTATGCACAGAAATAAAAGTTGGGTGAGTTATGTCTAAATCAGTTTTTTAAAAACATGGACACTCCATAAAGTTGTTTTTTGAACACCCCCAACTCTAACGAATAAAATGAAAGCATTCTTTGTGGAATCTGAGCAAAAATCCCATTTACGCAACCTGAGGTTATTGCTAGAGTTAATTAATTTCATTTTTAAATGTAAATTTTCTTTTAAACTGTAAGAAATTATAAAATTTGAAAACAACTGCGCACTCATACGATGTAATCCAACAGACTGGCAACAGTCTCGTTACCTATATCATGACTTTGTCGGGTGCTTGTAATTTTTGATAGTATTAGTTTACCAAATATAGAATCAAACATCAAAAGATACGAGTTATGATGGATATTATGATAGATAACAAATAAATATGTTTATGCGTTTTATACATTACACACTAAAATACGAAGTACCTATAATACAATTGTACACGAAAAAGTATTTCGGTACATTTTCACTAACTTTTTTTCCCGATTACCGTCATCCATACCACTAGGAGAAAAAATGGTTGAGCCCCCCCCCCCCTCCCACGTATAAAGTCATTACGCTACGCCTATGGTAGGCACTATGTACCAGTCCTTTGAGTTTGAATATTAGTGTTAATAAAAAAAACAATTTAGTATCAACCATCATAGTATTATTACAATATTACCTAACGCGTTTAGTATTAACTTTTAAGTATAGGTTCTATAGTTACTATATCTTCTTACAATCTTACCTATCTGGCTATCTACACAGTATAAACTACATATTATACTCGTATTATTATAACCTTTTTTATTGTCATTAGTTACCAGACTTCCCCCTCCCCCAATCTTCTTCAGCAATAAATAGTTGAAATATAATATACCAATACAATTATGAATGCACATTTTTAAGGAAATATTTCAGCTTTTGATCATAAATTAAAAATATACGTTGATAAATGATGGAGAATGAAAAAATCTTATTTAGTTTAAAAAAATGACTATACTATAATATTAAGACCCACTACCTAAGTGTCAAAGTGATATTATAAGTTTACTATTTTTATTCTTATGAATCTTTGTGGACGTGAGATACTTGGTTTTAATTTATTGCTATTTAATACCGACTACGGTTTACGGCGGACTAATCGAGAGATTTATTTTGAAATTCGAAATGATATCGAATGTTATGACAGTTTTAAATTTGTGTTTCGTTGCTTTTGTTATTTATTAAAACTTTAAAGTTAATTATTAGTATGTCAAAATTAACATTTCATCGTTAATTTAACACGAGGATTTAACGCATATTTGATTGCATATTTTAGTGTCTGCGCATACTTCACTACATATTTTAATATTGACAATTAACAGTAATATATTTTTAATTTAATCTCTTTACCTTCCTGCTCACTCAGAAAATAGCAGTAGGTTTATTTTTTAGATATAGGTTTTCTCTAATAATTCTGTTTTATATAATTAATTTTTGATTATAGATAATATGTACATTTTTCATTTTTTAGAATTATTTTCTATCATATTATTTTATACAATTTATAATCATCTTGGGTATCATACATTTGTTTTTCAAAATTCTTTATGAATTTCCGTAATTATCAGCATTTTGTAAGCCACCATTAACCCAATATTAAATAATTATAAAGTAAAAACATATTTGTATATTTTAGTATTTCATTACATAACCTTCATCTCCAAACCATGTTTTTAATTATAGTTTATCTATTATATCACTACAGCAGATGATATTGAACTATTTTATACATTTTTTTTCTTCAATTTATTGATAAAAAATCTTGTTTATGATTTAATATTGCAGATATAATATCTTATTATTTTTTTTATAAAACTATCAATTATTACAAATAAGAAATTTTGAAATTATTCACATTCTATAAAGTACGTGTTTATTTATTGTTGTTATTACGTGGTTGGGCCTAATGTTCTAATACATGATCACGATCAGAGGATCAAAAAACCCTTTTTGTGTCTTTATTATGTTATCTATTTATAATTTAAAATAAGTTAATTTTTTTATGTTATGTAATGGTTCTCCTAACAATTTATTTTTTTTTTGCTTTTATTAGGAAAAAGACAGTTATGGCAATGAAGTGTCTAAATTAGCCCGTCCATTACCTGTGGAGTATTTGTTACTAGATGTACCAGCTTCAACACCCTTAACTCCACTGAATACGTTTACATCAATTAAAGACATCACTAAATTCCCTGTTGAAAACAGATTAATTGATGGGCATTTTCAAGACTTTGATTCATTATGCAAGTACCTAAGACAATTTACTCCATCACAATTCTACGAGTCTATTTCCGATTTTCATTTACTATTGTATATTGCTACAATGGATATGCTACCCATGAAAGTAATTTTTTTTTTAAATATTTATTACCATTCTTGTGTCTAACAAAATATTTTTTTTAGGACTCCATGGCTCCTCTGTTAGAAGCAATACAAATTAATGATAAACAAGCAGTGGTTGAATGGTCTAGGTCAGACGTGTGGGCAACACTCGAGCAATTGATCAGCAATACTTCCGACTCTGCTGTATCGGGGCATGTAGGTAACGGTTTTGCATCTGCTCAGACAGAATCGTGGACATGTATTCATTGCACCTTTATGAATAATTCTGATCGGCAATCATGTGATATATGCAGATTGCCAAGGGATATCAACTAAATGTTTTATAACAAACGTGTATCTCATTCACAGTAAATATAATTATATATATACATATTTTTTTATGCATTGTTTATTATATTGAAAAAAAACTAAATAACACAGGTAATATTATGTAATGAATTTTTGTTTTGTTGTATAGAGCATAAAAATTTAAGTGTATAAAAGAAAACTGGTGGATTATCCCAAAGTAAAAAAAATTTCTAATTTTAATTATGTTTTTTAATTTCAATAGAAATTTATAGTAATTTTTATCTTTATTGTACTGGTATTTTATTTTGATTGATTTTTCTTAATATAAAAATTGAAAACAATAAAGTTTATACCAAAGTAAAAAAAAAAATACGACTTAATTTCTTAAAATCTATGCAATACGCAATATTGAATGTTGCGTTTAATATTTTCCTGATTTTCTTTTTTATCCAACATCATTATTGAAATAGAATAATACTAAAAATGTCTATTTCAAAAGGCATTTGTACAAACTATAACATAATATCGATAAAATATAGTTAATAATTATAAAATCTTGTAAAATGTATTTAGATTTTTTTAACGACCATCTCACAATTAAAATATTTTGTACCTCTGAATATGAAAAACATGTACCTAATCTAGATATTTTAATATATTTGTTCATACATTATTTCCTGATGAAAAATAAAACATCAATTTACAGTCACATCCTGCATTTAATGTATAATTATTGAAAATATTATTGTACAATTTGTTAACATTTTAAGCATATTATAATATATTGAGTCTTAATACTTAAAATTTAAAAATATATTGTTTAAATGTATTTATAAAATATGTCACAATTGTTGAAGAAAAGGCAGATCAAAAAAAAATATATAATATGAAGACAAACAATTTAACAAAAATTTAACAATACAAATGATAAGCATGCAAGTTTCATATAACTGGAGGAAACTCTGAATCGTCGTTCAAGTTAAATCGATCTTCGGATACATCAGTCAAGCTGTCGACATGATTCTCTGCATCTGTAATAAATAATTATAGTTTATCCAACAAATATATTATATTTTGTGAGAGGATTGCTCAACATTGAAATATGTATAATGTATAATGTAATATTTTTGTCTAAGTACGCATTTTGTTGTCAAATGAAAAATTCACAAATGTTATGAGTTCTTATGAAAAATACCTGACTGACTGGATGGAGGATGTCCCCTGAGGGCACCAGCATAACTTCCGACTGGATCTTTTTAGGTATTATCATAAACACAAATACACACATAGATTACAGCAGGTTCATTTGAAGGACAGCAATTTAGAGAGAAGGAATCGAGCAGCAGAAAACAAAACCAACAACGGTGTCATTCAAACCATGTTAAAATTAAGGGCAAAAGCTGCATACTCACTCGCTACAGATAGTGTGTAATCCAAGCAGTCCTCAGTCATATGATTAGTGTCTAACACTACTGCGGTCCCAGTATCTGTTGCAAACAATTTTAGAAACTACCAGTCAACGACTCATAACAAATGTTAAATGACTTGTTACAAATGGAATAAGTTTATCATTTAAACAACGTTTAGTAGAATATTCTAACTCATATATTTTTAATAGATATTATATGAAATTTCACTAAAATATAAGCATAGGACAATGTGATATTATTTTAAAAAGCCTCACATTTTGTGTACCTCAAATTCGTTTTAATTAATTTTTGTTTGTTTGGTATGTTAACTGATGTGAGTTATGATGATCAAATATTATACTAATAGTTTTAAATGATGAAATAATTTAAATTTAGAGATTGATTTTACAAACCTAAATTTTTATCAATTGAGGATTCTGTCCTCATGTTTTTGTCTAACTTGGTTATATTGGCCTCCTTCAATTTGATTGGTTTAGGGCTGTCCACTACATCTAATTGGCCATCCAGTCTAATATAGAGACATAGTTCAATATATATCGATTTATTAATTCAAATTTACAACAATTATACAAACACAAAGCATTGACAAACCTATGAGTACGCCAAAGAGTACATTCACCGCCTTCTTCCATATCTAAATTATAAACGTATAAATATCCATGGGATGAAGCAACCAGGAGCCTTAAAACTTTGTCAACCCTAGAAACAATAAATCAAAAGTAATTTCAAAATGTTTTGTTTTTAGTAAATTGGTTACTTACATCACTATAGTACAAATGTTTTTTAGTCCCTGAAACGGTAGATGGATTGAAGCTACTGCTCTTCCCTGGTTGAACACATCTGTTACTTGAGTCGGTAAATAATTAGCTGATGCAGTAACGGCTTTTGACAAAAACGACATCCAGCTTTGTTGTTCGTCGGGCATTTGTGGACTACAGAGAATAAAAGAGAAAACATTTTTATTATCATCCATTAAACGCACATTATGATGAATAGTAAATTACATTTCTTTGGTGTCATCCAATTTGAACACGTGCACTGTTTCAGTATTACTTGATGAACACAAGTACAAGCCATCAATACTGAACGCCAAGCTACAAATACTGACACAGCGCTTAACACCACGACGGAACTCATACAGTTTGGCACCATCAGAAATGTTGAACACTCTAATAACTGTGCCTCGTTCACTGGCCGTCGCTATTCTATTACCCTGGTGGCTAATGGCCATTGCCGCCAAAGGACTTTCATGAGCTGAGATCATGGACACAGATTGCTAAAATACAATTCAATTAATTTCAACTCAAAAAATCAAAACAACGAGCATATATAAAATGATTACCAAATTGATGGCATCAAAAATTTGCACTTCACCGGTTGTACTTGAACCGGGATAGGCCAAATAGCACATATCACTATTTGTAGACAGACAACAAAGTCCCGCTGGGTTAGGTGGAGTGTCTCTGATTGTATGCAAGACCTTCATGTCATGTATATTGTGTATGTACAAAGATTCTTCTAGGCATACAACTAATCTCTGCCAAAAATAAATTGACAATAATTAACGCCATTACAGGTACGTTACCTACTCTAAAGAAATAAACATAATACTTACAGCCCTGTTTAGTTTCACACCTAGAATAGTGTTTGAGTAGCTGTAGTTACATATTTCATTCCCTTTTTTAAAATGGCACACTCTTAACTTACGTGGCGACGACAAGCTGACCACTGCAACCAGGCTACTGCTGAATAGCCTCTCCACAATACAGATATCTTCAGATTCTGTCACAATTTCAAGTATAATTTTTACACAATTCAATATTTTCATTTAATTAAATTAGCCTTACCATTTTCATATATTTGGTCTAAATTATCAACGGAAGACAATGAGTACAAACGATATCCAGTCTTTGTACCAACAGCAAGTGACCTAAAACAAAATAAATATATGTTAAGTATTTACCAAAATTAAAAAAAAAAAAAAGTTAAACGATTTATTCATATTTCATAGTAGATTTTAGGATTGGTATTTCCGTACAAATTAAATGAATTAAATGTATATAAGTTTTTCAGTTACAGATATTTACTGTAACTATCAGTGGTGTAAATGACATAATAATTGTACTTAAACTACTACAAAAAGTCATTATCACAGCTTACTGAGGTTTTAATCTTAGTAGATACTTTAAGCACAAATGAAACTCTGGTTGAGATTGCGGCTAGCTGAAGCAAATCATCGTTCTAAATACTATGATGACCAGATAACTCAGACAAATAGTCAATCTCATCATCTACATAAAATCGAATCACAAAAAACGTAGTTGATATTCTACTCCTATCTGAAAATTTCACCCACGGAATTATTGTTATCTGAACCACAAAAATAAAAAAAAAATTAATAATTATTGTATTTAGTTGATTAAATATATGTTTGAAATATATATTTTTTTTTAATGTGCTAAACGGTCTGCATAATGAAGTTTTCACTTCAAAAAATTGAAATACATTTTGATTAAAACCTAACGAGAGTAGGTACAACAAATGTCAGTCCTTAGGTACTTGTGTATAACATTTTTCTGGAAGACTATTTTAAAATTCTAAAAAAGGACTCGCTGAAACATATCATCTGCGTGCATTCAATCTAAGTGTACGATTATATGAAACTTATGAATTTATGATGTACTTCTTATACGAAAAAAAAATCAATATAATCTCGGAGATATTTTTGCCAATATATTACCTACCGCATTAAGTCATCATTTTTGAGAACGGTAATTTTTATTTAATAATTGAATATGTTGACTTAGCATTTTTTAGGCTAGCGAATGTAATCCAGGTACCTATCATAAAACATTACGCAAGAAGAAAATCAGGCTTTGAGGGAACAGAAATGATTTATCATATAATATTGATGACCATTTCAGTGACCATATAACCAATGAAGAGGTAAGTACACTCCATATACCTATAAGGAACCTATATATACCTAATAATAAGTCTATGGTACACTCATTGACGGATTCAGCCCCTCGTACAAATTTAAAATTAGCCACCCCAAAACTAACACTGTACCTACTTATTATACATGCGGCCATGCGGGCACTTAATAAACATACCTATTTACTATCTGCAGTTATAAAATATATTAACCAATAATCAAATCTCACTTAAACAATAAACAGGGTAATTCTAAATTCACCAAGAGCATCTCATATCCTTTCACTACGCACTACCTCATTCAAAATTCGATTTTCGGAATTTTTAAGTGCACTTAAAGACCTGCAGAGTTTCGTGTACTGAGATTGTTATATGTAAGTCAAGAAGTTTTGTGCAGCGACACAAAATTCTTTTTTTCAGTACTTTAGTACAGTACTTTCTCCAAATTGTGAATCAAATGATTCTTTTGAAAAAATGTTAACACATCTATACAAATAATACAATATCAAACTTCGCAGGTTCCGAGTAATTCAACTTAATGTGTTAGGGAAATAGTCCTTATTCTACAATAATGGTTATTTGAAATATAAAATGGATACAATTTTCTGTCCAGCACATTGTACATTTGTACCCATACAATTTTTACTAATTCAATTTTTTAATATATTAATAATTAGGTTACTAAGTTATTTTAATTTTCTAATCATCATAGTCGCCATATCGTTTAAACCTACCATTATATATTATTATCTATAGCACACAAAGTTAAATAAATCATAAGTCTTAAGTTACTAGTTTGAATTCAAATTTGTGTACCTGTTAATTGTTATACACCAGAGCGTAATTTATTAATAAGGTTGAATCTATATAGGTTGGCAGGTGGCCGTCGGTCTAAGACTCGGCTCTAAATATTATATTTATTATCCTAGCTTACTTGTTTATACTTAGGTATATTGGACAATTCAACAATGTTGTTCTTTCAATGTTATACACTATATACCTACCATATTAATCACAATGCACTTTTTTTATATGATGAATACATTGGAAAAAAATCAATTTGTTTTGAAAGTATTTTGTTAATATTGACACGTGTAAATTAAACAAAAAACCTTGCATCGTGATTATGAAACATATGCACCGTCGCACCAAGTAACCTTGATAGATGCACACTGCACACTGCATAGTATGCACATTATAGATACACTTGTAGTATTTGCTATGCTTCTAGTCATATTTCATTTTATCAAGATAGTTATATCCCTAGTTTACCAGACCTTGGTATTTAAAACGACGTATAAGGTAAACAAAAAGCACTACAGTTTTAAAACATTATAAAGAACGACATGACTAACACTAATTCCTATTAAATACTTTACAGGTACAACTTAAAATTATAATAATACTCGTACAAAACACATTTTAGAGAATATTGAACTACGAACCGCGTATGGCCATACATGTACTATAAAAGTAGTTACATAATGTTCTTCTACTCAAATCTAATTACAAATAAAATCTATTGTTTTCATTTGTTATGGAAAAAAAATGAATAAATATAAAAGTTAGAAGACACGAAGGACGATAATATTATCGCAAGTAAGTAATACAAAATGCGTGATGCAAATCTATATAAATTTCAATTTAATTTATTTCAAGTACAGATGTACCTATACGAGTTCTTTATTATTTAAAACATATTTTGTAAAACATGAATCTTATATGTCAGGATGCTAATAGAAAATCGTTAATTATTTGATTCTATAGCGATACATACAACATTTAGTAGAAGTATTAGCTATATTATACATGAAAAATAAGACAGCATACAAGACACATATACCCAGCCACCATATCGTACTTCTTTTTTTATATATTTGTTTTTATAGGATTTATATTTATTACGTGAAATTAATTTTAGTTTTTGTTAACAATTTAAATTCAAAAAAACTCTTTAAAAATCATTTATTAGTATGTGTTTTGTATTGACTAAAGAGGCCTTCACTTGGGAAACATTCTTTCATAATGATAATATAACTACCTATGCATAACCTAATGTGTAACGAACACATTTTTAAAACAAATTATTATGCTATGTTGGTACACTTTTTAAAATACCCAAATATATTTTTTAATTAATATTGTTATAATTTTAAAATCACTGTTGATTATTTAAATAGTGAACCATAATAGAATGGATAATCAGCATATTGTTTCCTAATAATAATAACTTCGTATCTTAGTTTAACTCATGTTATCAAGAGTTGTGTTCTGTTTAAGAAAATTGAAATTCAATCGTTTCCAAAAATTGAGTCTGACATCATATTAAGAAAGTATAAAAATAATATTAACGGATATTTTATATCTGCAGGTAATAACGAATTAGAAAAACAGATTGGACGTTGAAATTATCAGCATTAGCTATATAGAAAATAACAAGTCTACCATCCATACATTCATATACCTACATATTTACATATAGATATATACACTATGTAAACATACCAGTTGTTATATTTTAAACACGTTTTTTTATATTCATATAATTACGCAATTTTAAATTTTAGTAGTTAATAAGTATACAATTTACTATGTTAAATGTGAACTGTAATGTCTGTATATTCTGAAGTACTTATTATATCCACTAGGTATAATATTCCACCATTTCACGTATTTCAGTTAATTCTTATGGACGCTTTAATTATTTTAATAAAATACATGTTTCAAAATCCATACAAATACTGTATTGTACTTAGTAAATTACAATTTATTAGCATTTAGAAATAATTTATAATGCACTATTCGAACGAAATATTAAGAATAATTTATTACAATAAAGAAAACTGAAAAATAACCTCCACTAAGTGATAAAATGATTTGGACAATAAAGAGTATAATCATCTCGCGATAATTTAACAAAATTATAATTGAATTAGTAAATCTCATCAAACATCGGCGTGTATGTACAAATAAATAGACAATTAAAAGATAACTACGATGACATATTATTGTTTACTTATCATTAAACAATAACTACGCATACGGAATACGTTGTTATGAAAGAAAATTAATTATTAAGTATTAAAATCACGTAAGATTACGTTTTTTTGTTTCTATTTGACACACGTATGCTGCTCAATAAAATCACGTCCTATATATCATTTTAAAAAAATGATAATAATAATCGCGAATCTCGTATTATAATTTATAGTGACTGGTATGTTGCCCTCTATTTATTTATTTTCAATTTAATTGTTTCAGCACTTCCTATATATAATATATATTTTTTAAGATAATAAATCCAAACCAAATTATTTTGATAAAAATGTGTGTTACCTCACAGTATTTAATCGCTTTTGCGGTTACAAAATGTATATAATATGTACATTAGTACACTAAAATGATATTGTGTAGTACCATTTGCCCATGTTAAAGGTTATTATAATAATAATTATACCTATTATTACTGCTAAGTTATAATCATCTACGTCATAAATCATTTTCATATAAACATATTTATACATAAATAAATATAAAGTTCCATAATTATATAATTAATTGGTACATATATTATATACACATAGAAGTTTATTCCCAGTACATATAATAACGTTTAACAGTTACGATTATATTGACAATATTAGTGACAGAAGACAGACAAGATCCCGGGGACAAAGAAAAATACCGCTCCACAAGACACAAAGAAACAAAGACGTATCTCTATATCTATGTATAGGTATTAAAATATATGGCCTTTATAAATATTATTACAAGACTTTAAGTCATAGCTCGTACATTTTAAGCCGTTACATTACCAAGACCCTTAAAAATTTGTTTAATTATACCATGTCAGAATACAATTAATAAAACACTCGTAATGAAAATTTTGTTCTCCGAACTGCATCAACAGCATTAGATATGAAAACACTAAATTTATAGTAACTGAAATAATAAGTTACTAAACTTTATACAGAGTGATTCGGCAAGCGTGCTCATGGCTCACCCCCATTTTTTTCATTTAACTAATAATGAACTTGTTCAAATTCTATTTTTAGGGATTTTTAAGTATACTTATTAAAATACTCACTTACATTCTTTATACAATTATATAATTCAGTTTTGTGTCCTACTTCTTTTTTTCAGTAAATATTTTATTAGTTGGCCAGTTGGGTTATTTGAGAATTGTATGTATCTATTTCGAAATTCGTACGAGTAGCTATGAGTTGTCCACGATAATGAATTTGGGAGATATGGGAGTTATCTATGATAATTTTAAAATGTTAGTAACTAATATATTAATTCGCATCAACAATTTATAATTTGTAAAACTATTTTTAAGTATTATTATTCTTATACTATACACATTTTGATCAATTTGATAATTCAGAAATGACTATTATTCGAGTTTTGATTTTGATGCATAAAAATCTGAATGAATGAAAATACTTAAACTTAAAAATGCCAAAATATAGAATTTGAAAAATGCATTATTAAAAGAAAAAAATGGGTGCGATTATGTTTGATGAAACATCGTTAAAAAACGTATACGTAAACGTATTTTTCTTACGTAAAATTTCAAACTTCTTGCCACGTCGAATATACTAATTTCACTATAAAAAATCCCTCGTATATTTTAAATAATATTCCTGTACCTATAGGATTGTTCATTTATTTTAAATCTCTAAGGTCAACTGGTTAATTACATAACTATATATAACAAGTCCTCCACACTCAATGTATAGTATGAGAACCACTGAATAAAAATTTACAATTTAATGTGCAGGTGTGTATTATGGCCGTGTAGGAATCGAGGAGAAGTACATAACCCCACGCACACAACAAAGTAGAGATATATAGGGAAAGTATCACTAGCATTATTGTTTTATACGTCATATTACCTATATAGCCAAAATATAGACAGGATAACAACGCAAAAAAATTATTGAGATCGCAGACCATACAATAGGAATATAGGACGAATGATGATGATGGCTGATGAAATTTAATAAACTGTATACCTTAGATTATATAGTTAAATAATTATAACAAGACGAAATAATTTCGTTTATATTAAGTATGATTTTAATTTTTAATTTATAAAAAATTGCTTAAAATTCTATAGTCGATGCTACAACGTTCTGCGCGCTATTAGCGACCGCAGCGTATAATATATTATAATGTACATGTAATGTATATTTTTTATGGATATAGTATTTATTGGTTGAGTTTGTAAAATTGCATAATTAGATGGATTGCAAGGTAAAAAATGACTCATTGTCAGAAAAAAATTGCTCAAATCATTATAATAACAATCATCAAACCTTGGGTTTATGAACCGTAACTTTGGGCAGCGTGGAAGTAAAACAAGTGGCGATCATAATATTATACAGTATCAGTACAGTCTGGTCATACAGTTTTTTTTAGAGTATAGGCATAATATTATAAACTTACCTAGTACCTATAGAAATGATATAAGAAAAAAAATAGTATCAATACGTATACCAATATAGTGCATTAATAATATAAACGTTAATAATATGTACTTTAATACTGAAACACGTGAGGATTATATGATACAATGGTAAGTATAATGATTAATTACGATCCTGGATCGTGTCAAATGGTAAAAGCCAAACATTTTATTTTTTTTGCAAGCGACTGAAATTTAGGGAATTTCTACATTTTATAACATTACAATATAAATATCGTTATCGCAAAACACTATGACGACGGATGTACGTTGCGATAGTTTACGGTGTAAATAATAGTAAATAATATTACATAATTTATAACTGCACATATTGATATTATTTTATTAAATATTATGATATTTTAATGTTATGTAATACCGCTAGCTTCGCTTGCACTCAATTTGTAGCCCTGACAAAATTGCCGAATTATTTTTAAAATTCATATAGTAATTTATCAGTTTGTATCATAATATATTATATCATAGAAAAACGCATAGCATCAATTATATATTATTAAGTATATCATGTTCAAAATCGTACTTGCTCAACACTTTTTTACCAGCGGTACCAAAACTGAAATATTTGAGTTCCGGAGTACCGTTCGACATTAAATATAATACCGGTATATGCGCGTGCGATACGCCGAATCACGATATCGCGACGACAAAATTCGAATTTTTATTTTTTTTAGCACATCTTCACTTCGAACTCCCGTTATTGTAACCGGAGGTTTTGCACACGCCTCGTATAATTAGGTATTAAAATTAATTATAATACTCGTTTAAAAACCAAAAAAAAAAAAAAAACAGAAAACGAAACTTCGATTATTTCTAATAGTATTATTATGTTTCAAATCAAAATATTAATAATAATAAACATACAGAATCACAGCGACACGACGGCAAGTATTGCAAAAATCATATCACAACCACAACAGTGCAGTTGTTGTTATAGGTACCTACGGCGGCGGCCGACTATATACATATAGCGATCTTCGCGTCGAACTGCATGCTATCGTTTAGCACAGTTTTCAGCACTTATTGACCATGGCAGCGGTGCGTCGACTGTTACACGCGCACTGCACACACCCACAAACACACACGCGCGCGCAGCACACACACGCGGCGCACAACCAGCACAGTCGCTCGCGCGTATAGTAATAATAACAACAACAACAACAACAACAACAACACTACAACAGATAACGCGCTCGTCTCTATTACAATAATCGTTGTTGTCGTAATGACTGTAATGACAGGTAGTCGAGTTACGTGTCATAAAAGATGGGTCCCACAACACATTTTGACATATTTTCAATATTATAATTAGGTAGTAAAAAATAATTGTTGTTGTGAGTACGGCGAGCGCACGTCGGATCGCCGCCGCAGCGCGTTACCACCAAATCGTGTGCGCGGATAGCGTGTCGTCGCAGTGGTTTCGCGAACGCGGTGCGCCGTTTTTCTCGCCGCGGACCAAAGTTCACGCGTGGAACTGTGTCACGTAGAGATAGCGGCGGCAGTGGTGGTGGTGACGGAAAAGAGGACCCGCGGTGAGCCTGAGATTTACAGCCGAAACAGCCGTCCGCGATAATAATGTTACAAAAATTCAAGCGTTGGCCGATTTTCGATTTTTTCGTTCAGTCCGGAACGAAACGAGGTGCGCCTACGCGCGGGGCATGAGAACTGGAGATTTGTGTTTCGAAAAAATACTGATTATTCCTGGAATGCCAACGATATCGCTGGTCGGAGCTCGTGATGTGCGCTGTTGTTATTGTTGTTGCGACTCGCGACTGTCATATTATTATTATTATTACACATTTACACCGTCGTGGAGAATCACTTTCGCCCGCCGCCGCGTTAGCGCGAAACTTAACTTGACCTCCAACCGTGACCTGGTTAAAAACGCAAACGAACGTGTAATTTATTTTGAACGCATTGCCGCTGTTTGGCGGGACCGGACCGCCTTGACGTTTAAAAATGGGCGAACAGCTGTAGCCGTCCGTTGCATTACATATTAATTGTTACTTCTATTATATCACGTCATAATAATAAAATCCTCCAGCTGAACGCACAAGCTCCTAACTAACGACGCATGGTTTCGCGCTGTGTAAGTTTTACATACCTACTTTGCACGAACACTCGCGCGCGCGTGTGTGTGTGGGTATATCGTACATAATGTACAAATTAATATATTATTATATCGTCAATTATTACACACGAGATGTATGATCTAGCGACTGGCAACACTAATTTTCAGTCAATTTTTTTTTTTAATAAACATTGTCATTAAAAATAATTATAATACTTCAAAAGAACAAACTATAATTATTTTACATAACCTACTAAATAATACGGATGTATAAATTTTCAAATTGGATTAGGAAATTAGTATGACCAGTTAAAATTGATTAGACTCTAGATTGATGTCGAAACACAGTAGTTAATAATATTGACTCGGTTACACAATTATTAATATTCTTCATAGAGTACTCATATCAAATAAATATATGCAATAAGTTATTATTATTGTTTACCTCTGTTGACTGTTACGCGTATGGCATATCTATGACGGAATGCAGTTGTAACTATTTCATTTACGAATCCGCTAAAAGTTGTTCAAACAAATTTGTCACTGTAAACATATATTAATTGGATAGGGTGTTTCAATAAGTTATGATATAAAACCATGTTATAAACAAGATTTAATTTATTTCAATTATTATAAATTTTTTATTTAATGTTTTAGTTTAACCAATTTAAATATATCCTAAATTTCTTATAACTGTATTATTTTTAATTTATATAGATTCTGTCTCCTGTATTAAGTTCAATACTTCAATGCACAATAATATGTTAAATCGTTAATAGGTTCCTCATAGATAATGAATCATAGTATAGGTATATCACTAACTACCTAATAAAAACATAGAGAAGTACTTGGAATTCTTTGAAAAAAATTAAAAATCGAGACAGTAATTAAATATAATTATATTTTCTGAAGATTTTTACTGCAATATAGTGTATTAAACTAATATTATTTGTTTTACAATAAACTATAAAGTAAGATGTATCTATATATTACGTATACGAGTGGGTGCTGCATTTGGTTATCTGATACCAAGTGAGTGGTAGGTTTAATGGACTAAAAATATTTAGTAGAACACAATAGTTTTAAGAATATGGAAATGAATATATATATATTACAACTGGTAAATTACAAGTAATAATAATACAAATAATATTGTTAAGAACTAGGTAGAAACAGCAAAGAACACACAAAATTAAGCTTGTCCCAAAATGCTCAAAACCTTGGCTGCCGACTCCAATTATATAATATATAATCATCAACATTGATAAATATTCAATTTGAAACATATTAGACACAAGATATGAATTTATGAAACCATTAATTATACTATGATAGTCGTTATATCACAATCTTCACAAAAAAAGTGCCAAAAATGAAATATTAATATAAAATATGAAATTCGAATTGAGTAAATTGTTTGTATTTACATAGTAAAAAATGTAAACTTGTACTTTTTAATTAACTGAAACATTTACAAAAAATATATACTAGTTAATTTATATTAAAAAAAACGATTGATAAAGATTGATGTTCAATTGTGATTCAAATATCAAGGTATGTAAAGAAAATGTAAAGAAAATGTATGACTTTAAAAATTCATTTTTATATTATTATTCAAAATAGTTTTATACAAAGATGAAATACCCCATACAACACAAATACTAAATATATAATGCTAATAATAACTAACATTAATTTTGTACTGTAGTCCATTAATTTAAATAAATATCTAAATTACATGAGTAATATCATGAGTGATTTATCTTTTTAAAATTTGATGATTATTAAAATTAAAATATAGGATGGTACAGAATGTGTTCTTTGAACAAATAAGAGGATAACATTTTTAAACTAAGTACTACATATTTTATTAAACATATAAAATACAGTCTGTTTTTAATCAATTAATAAAATATATTTTATACACTGATGTAATAATACAAATTATAGTTGTCAACTAAAATGTATGAATAATTATGATTATTAATTTATAGTAATACAATTTTAAATGAAAGCATACTAGTATAAAAGCCCAAAGTTAACTAATTAAAGCAAAATTAGAAATCTAAAATTGTAGTACTCAATTAAAAAAACCTTAATTTTAAATAGGATTTAAATGGTTATTTAATCCATAGTGAAAATTTTAAAAAAAAAAGACATAATTTAAAACAAATGAAAAATATATCTCCAGTGAATGTTTGTGTAAAATAAGTGAACCATCAAATATGTTCTTAGTTGTCAGCATTGTATTTTCATTCAATGGATCCTTCATCGTGATCTTGTGAATTCCTGTTACCATTATCATTGCCATCAAGTTGCCATTTATTGGTTTCAGAAGTCGGTTCTGGTGGAGTCTTGGGCTTGTTATTAGCAATATGCTGTTGATCTTCACCACTACCACCAGAATAACGTTTTCTATATTCTTTCGTGGAATTTTTAGATCCACTACGGCTCTTACTACGGCTACGACTACGGCGATTTGGTGAACCTGAGTAACTGCGCCTCTCATAGTGTCTATTTCTATCATATTGTCTAGGTCTGTAATGGAAGAATCTTTGCCTTCCACCGCCTCTTTGTCCTCTATTATTCCAGTTATTGTTATAGTTATTATAATTTTGTCTGTGCACATATCCTCCACGATGTTGGAAACCACGATTCTGAAAACCACGATTATGATGATTTTGATTTTGAAAACGTGGTTTATAGTATGTGCCACGGTTACGATTATTGTAGTATGGCATGCGATTGCGATGATGCATGGAACGAGAACGTGAACGGGAACGAGAGTATGAGCGCGAAGATGAACGAGAACGATTTGAACGTGAAGATGAATAACGTCGATGTCGAGGATAAGATCCTGAACGGCTCCTGGTTTTTGACTTTGACGTCTCTTTGGGCTTCTTTTTAAATGGCGACTGACTTGAACGACCTCCAGAACTTCTACTTCTTGAATAATTGAGGCGCCTCTTAGATACTGATCGGGTACGTGATCTTTGCTTGTTATTGGGACTTGTAAGTCCTGAGTTAAAAGATTGCTTTTGTTGAAACTCCATACTATTCATATTATTCTCAGGAACTGGATGAGTTGAAGGAGGTGGAATAAAATATCCTTTGTTGTTGTCATACATAGTAGGAAATGTATGCTCTGTATTATTAGTCTCATTATTATTGGATGATTGAGTTCTCTGTAACTCGTGATTTGTAGGCAGCAGACGGTTATTGTCCCAATTGTATGGTCCGCTATCAGTTGTCTCCTTCTTCTTGACCTTAACGTAAGTTGTAGTTGTAGTAGGTAGTTGCATTTTAAACTTAGGTGTTGGAATTAATGATGGATCTTCATCATACTTGTAAGTATTCTTTGGTACTTCTACAGCTTCAGTTGCTTTAAATATGTCCGATTGTTCATTATCCTTATCAATAACATTTTGATCAATGGGTTTATCTGGTTTCACATACTTTTTAAAGAATATATTTTCTTTTAAACTTGATAAATTGGATAAATTTGATTTAACACTCTCCGGATCAGGGAGACTGGATTTTTGGACAACTTGCTGTTCGTTATCAAAGGATTGTTCAATGAATTTGTGTTTTTTTGATTTATTTTTTTTATGATGATGTTCCTGATGGTCTTTAGCACTTTTCTGCTTATTTTTAGAATCTTTTTTCTTGTGTTTATGAGACTTCTTTTTATCTTTAGATTTTTTCATTTTCTTATCTGTCTTTTTTTCTTCATTCTTTAAGGCATAAGCATCTTGTAATAATTTTTGAATATTGATTCCAATTTGCTTACTTTTCTTAATTTTGTTTGATTGACTTAGGAGTATTAACTTTTGGATTCTTCCTTCAATATCACTTTCTTTTTCTGAATTCTGTTGCTGAGATTGAGAATTATCTGTTGCAATAAATGAGGGATTACAGGGTAAACCACCACCATTTGTATTACATCCTTCCATCATAGCTAAGCGTTTACTAAATGGTGATAAGGATCTTTCTTTTTCTACTTTTTGTGAATCATTTCCAGATG